CAATGTGGTAGAGGGATTAGATGCATCTGATGATGCATGTGATGATGGTTCAGTCGTCATTAAGAAGCGTAGAAGGATGACTTCCAAGGTTTGGGGTCATTTTGAGATGTTACCTAATCCTACAGATGGTAAACAAAGGTGTAAATGCAAAAGATGTGGTGCTCAATATTTATGTGATAGTAAAAATGGCACTGGTAACTTAAGGAGACACTTGCAAAATTGCAAGAAAAGAGATTTACGTGATATAGGACAACTCATATTGCAAACTGGTTCTAGTGCATCCATATCTATGATTGATCAAAAGTTTGACAATGCTGAATTTCGTGATTTATTTACTGCTTGCATAATTATGCATGACTTGCCCTTCCAATGTGTTGAATGGATGGGTGTTCGATCACTTATGACATATCTTCGTCGGGATGTTCAAATGTTTTCTAGGAATACAGCAAGGAATGATTGCAAGAAAGTATTCACTAAAGAGGTTTGTAATATTCGATCAAACTTAAGTAAGTGCACTAGCAGAGTTTCTGTTACATCTGATTTGTGGACATCTATAAACACTGATGGCTTTATTTGTTTGACCGTGCATTATATTGACAATGAATGACATTTACACAAAAAAATAATTAGTTTCTCTTTTATGCCACCACCACATGATGGGATAGCATTATGTGAGAAATTGCAGTCTCTTTTTCTTGAATGGAAAATTGAATCTAAACTTTTCAGTGTTACCTTAGACAACGCTTCCGCAAACAATGTATGTGTTGACTACTTGAGAAATCAGTTAAATTTGAGAAGAGTATGGAGTGCACTAAAACATGATATTGTTGAGGCTTTGGTCTGTGCCAAGGATTGGCTATACGGAGATAAGGGTGCAGTTTTCCTAAACTTTTACTTATAAAATTGCAATTTCTTTAGTAATTAAGAGCTGAATTATTAAACACATATTATTATTTGTTGGTTTGTTGCAGTTATACATGATCCTGAACTTGAAGCTGTGACTGAAGATGTCCTTACTTTAACAGTAAATGAACTTGAGACAAATGCTGCTGAAAGTTCTGGAATATGAAAAATTTATTTGGTTGATTGGTACTTTGGTTTAATGTTGAACTTGAAACTTGAAAGACAGTTGTTTGATTATTTCTTTAATGTTGTATTTCTATAAGTGTGTTTGGTATTTTGGTTTCGGGTTACATGCTGCTCAGCTGCTGTAGTGCTGTGTTCATTCCTGTAAAAAATTTATTTGGTTGTGCAGTTGTGCTATTGCTATATGCCTATATGCATTTGCCATTTCTGTACACGGTCCACATTCCAGAACATTAGCATTTCGGCTTGGTAACCTGTTGTGTTTTTTCGGGCTGTTTTGCACTTTTGCTGAACTTTAATATTCTGACTTCTGAGCTATTCAGTTTATTGCTGGTTCTTTCTGATATTTTGTTGTTGTTTTGAAGTGATGATGCGATGATGATCAACCTTCTCAAATTATAGTGGGAATAATTTCAGAAAAATGCTATTACAACCAGGATTGACATTTGTAATTTTGTATTCAAATCAAATGAGTAGATACTACATAAATAAATGAATAGATACTAACTTAATGCAAAATACAATTTGTCTCCTTGGATGGTAATATGCAAATGTTGATTGAACATATACCTCATAAGGTGATTAAAGATTTGGAAGATTTAATCTGAGCAAAAAGCATCATATCTAACTTATTTATTTCGCAGAATACAGTTCTTCCTTGTTCTGTGAATACTGAATACAGGTCGACGGGGTCGTTTGCCTGAAGACTTGAAGTTGAGCAAGGGAAAAGTGACGATGCGGACATTTTGTTGATTTCTAATTTGTACATGATAATTATTATATGTAATTTTTTTTGTTAAAGATATGTAATTTTTTGTAATTTATTGATTTGTAATTTTTAAATGATATGTTTTGTTTTACATTTTAAAATTAATTGAAGGGTACATATTTTTATTTGTAATTAAATACAAAAAACCAAAATTTTGATTGTTATCGGGTCAAACGGGTCGGGTCGGGTTGACTCGGACCCGAAGCGGGTCGGGTTCGGGTCCAGCAAAATGACCCGTTTCCAAAAACGGGTCGGGTTCGGGTTGACCCGTATGAACCAGGGTCAGTTTCGGGTTGAACCCGAACCCGACCCGTGACCCGGTTTTGACAGGCCTATATGAGTTGGGGTAGGGGAGGTATGTGTTGACGAAATTGTTGTGGGTCGGAGGGATCAAATGCCGACGTCGGGCTTGGAGATCGATGGAGGTTACTTGTGGTTTAGTATAGGAGGTGAAGTCGGCAGATGTTCGTGGATTTGGGTGTTCGGCTTCAATAGGGAAGTTCAATGGGCTCGGGAGGAGACTCTTCGAATTCGAATAGAAGGGACGTCGTCGAAGAAGGTGCAGCGGCCGGAGGTTTACATGGGTATGAGGAAGAATAGACAGGTGAATGTTTGGTTGAAGGAGAAATCAGAGAGTGGGAGAAAGCAAAAACAACCGTGAATAGAGGGAGTGTGAGAATGATGAGCTAAGAGGCAGTGAGCGGGATTTGAATAGATATTGTAATAACCAGAAATCAGGTATCTCTTTTATAATAAGTTTAATTAAAATTTTTATCTCAATGTGTAATTAAAATATTAAACAGAAAATTTAATATTTTTGAAAAGATGCTGCCTTTATATTATTAAAGGAGAGAGAGCAGTTATAGTCCCTTCATTTTTATTAAAATGAAGTTTTAGTTATACGTTCCTTCATAATGTTATTTAAATAAGCTCTCTGTCATTACTGAAACGGTTTTAGACAAGGCTATTGAAATTCCTATGTGGCTGTAAAGGTTCGGATAAGGACAATAGGCAGTTATTTTGAGTGGGCATGTATATTTCTTTTCTGCTTGTGTTAACGGGAGAAGCAAAGAAATAAGGAAAAGAAAGAAAATAGCAGTTTCACGCAAGCCAGAGAAGAGGAGTTCAGCAATTTCAGTGCAGGAAAGTGTTCTGCAGTGTCTAGAAAATACTGTGCTTGGAGTCGGCACAGTGCCTGCAGACGGTCATCAGTTCGGCACAGTGTGTTCGGTACTGTAGCAAGAGGCGGAAGGTTGGCTTGGTAGCGGCAGCATGCACTTCTGGTAAAGAAGTTTGGAAAGCAGTGTTCAAGTGTATCTAATTAGTGAAAAACTATAATCAAGAAATTTATAAATTGATTTTTGGCATTTTGTAATGAATTATAATGATGCATGTGTGCAGCCTAATGGTAGAAACAGTGAAGGAAAAATAATAGATTAAATTTGAGAAAAAAGATTAAAAGATTAGGTTGGAGGAAGAAATATTTCAATATAAGAAGAAATTGAAGGAAAGAAGGAAGGTAAGGATTTATGGTATGTTCTTAGTTTTGTTGTAACTTTGTAAAAAGACAATAAGGATTTCTAAAACAAGTATATCAATTGCTACCAGTGATAGAAAGGAATTTATTGGTCATGTGTAAAAAGAAAGTTTCGAGGTGATTTACAATCGTAGAAGGGTACGAGATAAAGAATTAGAAGAGATCACTCAGCAGGAAAGTAAGTTATGTAAATTTAGTGATTTTTAATATAATTATCATGTATTTTAAATGATTTGAGAAATTCAATATAATATGATTATTTGCCTAGTAATTATGAGAATGCATGGATGTGATCATGAATAAGCAGTTGACATATGATCAAGCATGTTGTTGTATTCTCATGGATGATATGTTAGAAAGAAATTCCATTTTTAAAGTAATTAAATATTATCAAGTTTTTATTGTAATACTTGTACTGCTAAATGAATGTAGCAGTTAGGAATTATGAAAATGTGAGGGTTACTGAATATTTAGTTAGTAAAGATTGACTATTTTATGTTATGATATCTATATTATCAGGTGGACAAAAGGGACCCAATATGAAACCTGAATTGTAGTTGGGGCAAGAGGTACCCCATGGGGCAAAAGGGACCCCAATAAAATGGATACCTGCATAGCAGGTGGGGAAAAATGGACCCAGAGGCAAAAGGGACCTCTATAAAATTCAGTGGTGATAATGCTAGGTTTACCTGAGCTCCATTGAATATGTTAAAGTATAGGCAAATCTTTTAGAGGATTAAATATTCAGTATCTATCTCAAATGACATAAAAGATGAAGTTCCGTATGATGTTTTTGATGCTTTACAAATAATGATAAGTTGATCCAATTATTAGCAATGTTGTAATTCATTATATTATTACATTTTAATTGTTATTGAATTGCATAACTTATTAAGCCTCACAGCTCACCAGTATTTTCTTACTGGCTGTTGTTACAGGAAAGGGAAAAGAGAAGATTGATGCAAGTTAATTTATACAAGTGTTTCTTCATTTCATGTTAAAGTTATATTTGTAGCGAGTCTACTTTTGGAGGTATGAAAACATTTCAGTCTTGTATTAGTTGGTTAGCTTTAATGGCTCTATAAGTTTATATTTGGAGTAACTTGAATTTTAGATGATTCTATGTATTCATTATATGATCTATTAGTAAACTTTTAATGTTTAATGAAGTGAAAATGAATGTTCTACTAGTAATATCCAACAGTACTAGTAGGAGTATTGTGTGGTGTTACATATATTGTGGGATTTTGTTTTTCGATTTGCCTGTTGCCAGTTGATGTTACTGTAGCGCTGAATTGTAGAGGATGGGGTGTTGTAGCAGACAGCGAGGTTTGAGAAGGATTTGGGTATGCACAGCAGCTATGACAGGATTTTGGTAAGTGACGTGGAGGTCAACATTGGCTTAAATAATTGTTTGGCAGGCTAATTCTTGGCTTAATCTTGCAACCAAAAAATGCCTCCAAGTCTTCTAAGAGACTGCATAATTTGATTTATTTTCCATGCTCAAATTTCTTTACATGCACAGCTATCATCTTTTGTTATTTTCTAGTTTGATGAATCCATTTGAAATTGTCCACTAAACGTTTTTCCTTGGGTGCTTTTTTGTAGAATGTGGGAGTTTTCGGTGGCTTTATACATGATAAATATATGGCCAGACTCTTTGCTTTTCACTGCTATTTATGGTGTTGTGGAGGCTGCCTCCACAACTTTATTTGGCCCAGTTGTTGGAACATGGATAGAAAAAATTGCTTATAAGCAGGCAAGCGGAAGACCTAAGTATCTCATTAATTTTGCTTTTGCATTATTTTATTTGTAGAGAAATTTTAATTAAATTGATACGTTATTTGACAGGTCCTCCGAATGTGGCTGTTAATACGAAGTTTATCTTTTTTGGCTGCTGGAGGTGCGGTTACAGCTCTCCTAGTGTACTTTGGCCCTGCTTCTCATAAATCTGTGCCATTTGTTGCTTTACTAGTCATAACCAACATTTCTGGAGCCATTAGTGTGCTTTCAACTCTTGCTGGTACAATACTAATTGAAAGAGATTGGTAATAATCCGTAGATGATATCAGTCGTGATCCTTGTTAATGTTTCTGCATCCTGCAATTTCCATGAGCTGACATCTTTTTTGATATTTGTATTGTAATATGCTGGTAATTACTATATATGTTATTGGTCTTGGTGTCTCTATTATCGTTAGGTAATACTGTAGTTTTAATTGATATTAACATGAAGTTTATTTAATCTGACCAATTTTTGACATTTTTTGCTATTGTAAATGTATGCCTGCCTTATCATCAATTGTTCTATGCCTTTGAACTCATTTCGGTTGCTGTTAGAAAACATTTTTAAAACAGGTAGAGTTTTTAGATATTGTTGTTTGGTTGGATGTGATTGTAAATCAATATGGATTTTCAATTCTATGAAGACCTTCAAAATCCCTCAAAAGTGAGGATTTCATTATCACACTAAAAATGAGTGAAAATGAAATCACCACTTTCACTTGTTTTGCATCTATAAGCAGCCAAATGATCCCTTACGGTATTCTCGTGATTGGGGTTGCGAATGATCCCACCATGAGTCTTTTGTACCTTGGCAATATTCGAACTGGATGGCTCAATCAAACTCATATTTCGCTTTTGAATGCCCTTATTTGATCTCGATCTTTGATTCAAGATCAGACCAAGGCCTGGCTAGTTAATTGACTTGTTTATTTGTGTTTGAACAAACATGAACCAAAAACTTATCAAATTTTGTAGCAAATATTGTTATTTAAGGCAAAATTACAACAATACTGAATACCAGGCTACTTGAATGTTTCATGCAATTCATTATGGTTATCTTGTGAGGAACAATTTTTAAAATTGGAATTGTAATATACAATTGTTTTGTTCAAGCATTTCATAGCAGTTTTATTTTTTGGAGCTATACAAACCTAAGACTACTAATTGTGATTCAAAAGCTTTTTCTTTTTTGCTAAATAGCTAGATTTTCAGTCAGTTAATAAAAGTGATGCTGCTATGGTTTTCAATGATCCTTGATTATTTCTGAGTAAACGTACTGGTAACTTAACTGTTTTCAGTTCAGCACTGCACAAATAAGGTAAATCTATTTTTGTTCTTAAGCTCATTAAATTGGTCGAACTTTCAGTAAGTTATAGTTTTCTATTTCCATTTGAACTACTTGAATGCTTGATGCTACTGTATTCGGCACTTGGTTGATATTTATAGCCACTCACTGTATAATATAGCATGACTAGCTTCTTTAAGTCCACTTAGCATATTTTTATTCTTTCTTCCTGCTGGTTTATTTTTTTCATGTCTGCAACATTGTTGACCTCCATGTTATACCCAAAGGGACACAAGAGATAAGAAAGCAAAACAGAAATCCTACATACATACCTTATATCCATTGAGTCCCTAAAATCCTCCCGATTTTTCTCCAGAAATCAGCAGAAATTCTGCTGAATCCGGCGCCGAAATAGTCACTTCTCCGCTATTCCCGCACTGGCCTCGATCATCGCCTGATTCGTGTCGTTAAAAGGAGACAGAAATGAGAACTTGGCGAGGCTTCTTTCTCGCATACCCCATGAATGCAAGCATCTCTCGCTGATTTCCTCTCCTGATACGCAGACAAGTTCTTCTCCCTCCTCTCCACACGCAAAGCTCTCTCTCATCTCTTCCACTTCGCACTCCAGCTCACTCCCGATCCCACTCTCTATTCCTCTGTCCGACTCCAAGCTGCCGACCTCACCTCAGTCAGATCCTGCCGAAGCATCTCTATCCCGACCAGAGACCGGAATCAATCTCCATCGCGACTTCCGACCCCAGCTGCCATCTCTCTCCATCCCGATCCCTCTGAAGCCGGTCGCCTGTGTCGACTTCCATCTTCGGCCGAATCCCTCTACTCCTTCAGCCCGCAGAGAGAGAGAGAGAGAGAGAGAGAGAAAGAGAAAGAGAGAGGAGTCTTCCTCTTACCCGTAGCCATCCAAGCCGGCCTCCTCCGATCGATCCCGTCGCCCTCTCCCTTCCGATCTTTGCCTGTGTCGTGCTTTCTTTCCAAGCCGAGAGATAGAGAGAGAGATAAGGTAAATATATATATATATATAATTGTATTTATTATTATTATTATAATAATTTTAAATTGATTAAAATATTATTAATTCCGATCTTTGCCTGTGTCGTGCTTTCTTTCCAAGCCGAGAGATAGAGAGAGAGATAAGGTAAATATATATATATATATAATTGTATTTATTATTATTATTATAATAATTTTAAATTGATTAAAATATTATTAATTATAATTACCGTAATTTAATTATAATTAATTATATTGATATTAATTAATTATTATTAATGATATTTAAAAATAATTAATTACTTATATTTAATTATTCTAATTATAATTAATTAATGAATAATTATAATCATTTATAATTAATTTAATTTAATTATAAATGATTATTTTATTTATTTAATTAATTAATAATTATTCATAATTAAATATAATTATATTAATTATATATTAAATATTTTTGATTATAATTAAATAATAATTATAATTAATTATGATTTAAATTTAATTATAATTAATTTCCTTTTAGTTAAATAAATAACAACAAAAAGAATAATGCTCTTCCCCCTCCACTCTCTTTCCTCGGCGTCCGTGTCGGACTGGCAAACCAGCTAAGCACGCCTTTAGTGGCCGTGGTAGGAGGGAACCCGGTGCGACACCTACGACGAGGTAAGCGAGTGAAACCTCGATCCACGTGTCAACCACGACAACCCCGCGGAGGTATGAATTTTTCTAAACTCAAAACCCTACTTCAATGTTCGTGGCAAATCGGAGAGCCGCCCCATGCACGTCTTTATTGCGCGTGGTGGGATGGGACCCCGGTGTGGCACGTACGGCGAAGCGGGGTAACTTATAAGTACCTCCGAGCGGGGGGGAATCAAAATTACTTTTTAAATAA